GGACTGGATGGGCCTTTGGCCTGATCCAACACTGGCATCTCTTATGTTCTTAACATAATTATATAGAAACCAAAGTCAATAATCATACCAAACTCACATATATCATAGTGGAATCATCAATGTTATAAAGAGCAATGATCAAAAAGTGGGCAGTATTTCCGACTTGCAAGAGATACAGAGCCGAGCCTGATAGAAATGAGCTTTTGTGGATTTTCCGGGCTGTATGGCCGTGGTCTTGGCATTATAGGCCTGACGTTTCGGCCAGTAGTTGTGACTGGCATCCTCAGAGGTATAACACAGAAGGATGGAGGACTCTCTGTGTCAAGGTGAGAAGGAAAATGGTAGGCAGGTAATTTGTATCTACTCAGGAAGGTGGGGTAGGGCTAAGACATTATCATGCTACCTACCCCACCTTCCTGAGTAGATATAAATTACCTGCCTATCATTTTTCTTCTTCTCACCTTGACACAGAGAGTACTCCATCTTTCTGTGTTATACCTCTGAGGATGCCAGTCACAGCTACTGGTGAAACGCCAGGTCCTACAATGCCAAGACCACGGCCATACAGCCCGGAAAATCTACAACAACTAATGAACTCCGGCCATGAAAGCCTTCGACAACATACCTAATAGAAATATTTTGATTGGGACTTTAATTGTACATGTGTATTTACTGTATGCCTGTGAAGACTTACCTAATTTCTCTGACAAAGGAACAGGTCCAAAATGCTGACTATCCGGAACTGTGTAGTTTTTATTTGGGACAGATCTTATTTTCTACAGGCCACAACATATAGATGTTTGGACTTCAATTCAAGGACCTGTGAAATTTATATAAGCAATTCTTTTCTTTTGTGTGCTTGTCCAGTTAATGAAGGAAGTCTGCTGCTCTGGAGTTGTGCTGTGACTTATTGTGGGTTTGAGTTTGTTACCACCCACTTTTTGATAATTGTTCTTTATAACATTGATAATTCTATTACAATATATGAGTTTGGTAAGATTATTGACTTCTGTTGCATATACTTAGCATGCTTTGACTATCGATTGCTGTGTGAAAAACCTAGCATCACATCTTCACACCTGTCCTGATTAAACCCTGAGGGGGAAGAGGCTCTCCTGCCAAAAACTCCCTACAAACAACAACCGCATCTCTCTCACATACAGGACTGCGGGGTGGTACCTGCTAAGTCTCGGGTATATTGCTCTCTGGAACGGTCCATTTGGCATTTGTGGCTTGCCAAAACCTTCTTCACCAGATCTAACATGCCAAAGTTCTGGACCGTATTGTTGAGTAAGACGGCATCTAAAAAACAAAAATGACAACAGCAACAAAAAGAGCTAGAGTCCCAACTGAAGATACTGAAGAAAGCTGAAACCTTCACTACTAACAAGACACTGGCTCTCTGTCCTTTTTGTGGCTTGCAAAGAGCACCGGAACAGAGCTTAGTGTTCTGCTGTGCTTAATGCTGTAATCAAAGCATAACTAACATCTTCCCTCCCAGATAACAAAGGGTCGGCAGATATAAGGTCTCTTTTTGTAGTAGGAACTCATTTGCATATTAGGCAACACACCCCTAATGTAGCCCAATCCTCCAAGAGCTTACAGAGCTCTTCTTACAGGGGCTACTGTAAGCTCTTGGAGGATTGGTTACACTAGGGGTGTGTCTCCTAACATGCAAAGGAGTTCCTGCTACAAAAAGAGCCCTAATAGAACATGCAGAGACTCATACCATACAACTGAAACCACTGAACATATGATTATGGAGTGCCCTATATTCGATGAGTTGTGGGCTCATTTAGTCACCCCTTTAACTTAAAGATATGGAACTGCTCAATGTGCAAGCCCAGGTGTCATGGCTACTATCGGAGACCAACGATCGTGTCACCCTCTCAGTGGCAAAATTCATAGGCGCAATAATCAAATATAAGAGAAATAATACTAAGGCCTTTTAAAATATTTTCTTTGGTTCTGATTTCTGCTTAAGCTGATAGCCATATGAGCAGTACTAGATAGATAGATGATAGATGATAGATAGATGATAGATAGAGACAGAAAGAGACAGAGATAGAGAGAGATAGAGAGATAGAGATAGATAGATAGAGAGATAGACAGAGCGATAGAGAGACAGAAAGAGAGCGAGACAGATAGAGACAGAGAGAGAGAGAGAGACAGACAGACAGACAGACAGAGACAGAGTGATAGAGAGACAGAGAGAGAGAGAGAGACAGAAAGAGAGAGAAAGAGACAGAGAGATATATATATAGAGAGACAGAGAGTTGTTGTTCAGTCGCACAGTCGAGTCCGACTCTTCGCGACCCCATGGACCAGATCCCGCCAGGCCCTCCTGTCTTCCGCTGTCCTCTGAAGTTTGCTCAGTTTCATGTAGATAGAGACAGAGATAGATAGAGACAGACAGACAGACAGACATAGACAGAGCGATAGAGCGATAGACAGAGAGAGACAGAGATAGAGCGAGACAGAGAGAGAGAGATAGAGACAGAGAGGGAGGGAGGGTACCAGGCCATTTGCAGCAAGGAGGTGGCAGGGAAAGGTGCCAGCCTGTTCTTACCACTGAGCTGTAAGGGGGGATCCCGAACTCTCTGCTGGAGGCCCTTCATAGTCTCCATAAGCTCCAGGTGGAACTCCTGGATCACTTCTTCCAGCAGGCCTGCTTTTTTCAAACCTCGCCAGAATGCAAAAGTATCGTCTTAAAGAACAGAGGAGAAAGTAGAATAGGCTGTAGAATGGGGCATTGAATATCTTGTCTCCATTTTTAATACTCATCTCCTAATCTTTAAGTCTTTCACCAATATGTAAATTGCCCCTATCCGACCCTTACATATGGAACTCTCTATCAACAACTCAGGCTGTGTTTTATGTCAGTTTATACCAGTTCTTTATTCTGTATTCCATATGTTACAGTTCTTAACGGGAAATACTGAAACGACGAGTCGTAAACACCCGCTTCATCTATTACTTTTTCATATGTAAAAAATCTGCCCTCCTTCCAACTGCTTCTCAACCCTAACTAACTTCTACCGATTCCAGCAGTTTCTGTTGCCAAATGTACCTGGGATAGAAAAGTCCTGATTATAAACCACTGAGGTTAGAGGAGAAAATCCTGAATACAAAGTACCTTTAAATCAAACGGTCAGAGTAGCCATGATAGCTGGTAAATCCTGTTTCAATTCCCCCCCCCCATCTCCATCCCCCAAATCAGCGGTCCCCAACTTTTTTGAGCCTGTGGGCACCTTTGGAATTCTGACACAGCAAAGTGGCTGCAGCCACGAAATGACAGCCACGGTTTACCTTTAGTCACACAGTGAAGATCGTTGTGCGGAAATGGCCGCTATGGCCAAAGAAATGCTTTTAAAAACCTGCACAGCCAATCAAATCTCCAATGGCCAATCAGAAGCCTTGCTGGGTAAAAGTCCCGTCCATTTTATTTAAAAAACTTAGCGGGCACCAGGTGGGGGACTCCCGCCCTAAGTAAACGCCTGGCCCTTCTTGTTCTGCCCACGTTGGATTGAGTCAGCCTGCCAAATCTGCCAGTTTACGTGCAAAATAACACATTCTTCTATCTGGGAGCTCTACACCTCCCTTTCAGGGCTCTTTTTGGGCAGGAACGCACAGGAACGGAGTTCCGGCTGGCTCCCAAGTTGGCCACGCCCAGCAGGAACTCATTAGCATAATAGGCCACACCCAACAGCAGGAACTCATTAGGATTGGCTACATTAGGGGTGTGTGGCCTAACATGCAAAGGAGTTCCTGCTACAAAAAAAGGCCCTGGGTTTTGACCACAAACAAGGGAAACAGAGTAAGAAGCAAAAGGTGGGTGTGGCTGGATAACCACACTTCTGGTCACATGGGGGTGTGGCCTAACATGCTAATGAGCTGTGCTGTCAGGGGTGTGGCCCAATATGCTAATGAGTTCCTGCTGTGGGTGTGGCCTATTATGCTAATGAGTTCCTGCTGTTGGGTGTGGCCTATTATGCTAATGAGTTCCTGCTGGGCTTTTTCTACAAAAAGAGCCCTGCAGTCATGTTTATGCCTACACAAGGCGTATCTTGATACACAAGGAGGGCTGTTATGCCCAACAAACAGGTTTATTTCTCCTTGCCATTTCTTTACAACGTCTCGGCTGAAAGCTAAAGATATGTTCATAAACAGAGTCACAGACTAGTGCTGACTTGTACTAAGTCTCTTCGGGTCTCTGTAAGAATATGCAAAACTTCTCCGCTTACACAGACCCCTCTGTCAACAAAATCTGGATCGATAAAAAGATTACGTTGGCCAGTTTACGTCCAAACCACAACAGCAGAGAGCTGTGGTGGGCTGAGCAGATTCGCTGAGCCGTGGACAAACGGCTGTGTACCAAAATTTTAAGCGGCTTGTGACCAATGTTCCCTCTTCGCTGTGGAGTCTTGTGAGCAAAAATCCTGCTTTGTGAGCTCCTGGCATTCAAGTTGCGAGCAGGAGATTTGGCTGCTGCATAGATTACTTTGCTCTGGAGCCCTCCTTCCTGAGCAAAGACAAAAAGGTGTGAGCCGGGGGCTAAAAAACTGTGAGCTAGCTCACACTCACTCAGCTTAGAGGGAACACTGCTCATAACCAATGTTCCCTCTAAGCTGTGGAGTCTTGTGAGCAAAAATTCTACTTTGTGAGCTCCTGGCATTAAAGTTGTGAGCAGGAGGATTTGGCTACTGCATCGATTAGTTTGCTCTGGAGCCCTCCTTCCTGAGCGGAGACAAAAAGGTGTGAGCCGGAGGCTAAAAAACTGTGCGCTAGCTCACACTCACTCAGCTTAGAGGGAACACTGCTTGTGACTTGTTTTTTCCTTAGAAACCTGTTGTCCTTAGATGGCCGATGAGAAACAAACCACAGGAAAGCCTTTCGCGAACATTACCTCCTATACTGGTAGTCCAATCGGTGGAGTCCTCACACGTTTCTATGGTGATGGTGGCAGGCGATCCATTCACTGAGATGCAATCAAGACCAAAACAAACCAAAATTACCACTCGTTTCACAGCAGAAACCCTTCACGGTACACCCTTGCAAAATAAGCCAGCTCTTTTACTGCACAGAGTAAACAGACCCTCTCTTGTTTTCTACCAATCTGTGATGACTAATTCTGGATAGAAACCAGAAAATTATCTTCTCCTTTCAAAACTAGACCCCGTCTGTTTTGAGACCAGCACTTCGAAATTCTTGCATTCTGCCTGTAGGGATTTCTTTCCGTGATCAGTAATCAAGGAACAACTAACCTTGAGACAGGTATGTACATATCATGGGGCTACCCCAGTTTTGCCTTTGCAAAAAGCCTATGAGGTCAGTTATGTTCAGAGATCGTGCATGGTGGCCCTGTGAATTTTATGACCGTGGGAATCTGGGACTACTCCTGAATTTGGGAAATGGATAGGACACTCGTAACCCTGAAAGCAGGTAAAATGTTGAGCTTTTAAAAATGCCCAGTGTTTTCCAAATCAATTTTGTATGTATGTCTTTAAGTTTTTATGACAGTGTTTAGAAGAAGAAGAAGAGATTGGATTTATACCCTGCCCTTCACTACCCAAAGGAGTCTCAGAGTGGTTTACAAACTCCTTTCCCTTCCCCTCCGCACAACAGACACCCTGTGAGGTAGGTGGGGCTGAGAGAGCTCAGACAGAAACTGCTCTTTTTCAAGAACAGCTCTTATCAGAACTATGGCTTGCCCAAGGTCATCCAGCCAGGTGCAAGTGGAGGAGTGGGGAATCAAACCCAGTTCTCCCAGATTAGAGTCCATGCACTTAACCACTACACTAAACTGGTATAGAGGGAACACTCCTGTCCTAGTATATTTATTGTAATTATTATAGTGTTTTAGATTGTATGTGCTATAAACTGTTGTTACCCGCTCTGAGCCGGTTTCGGGGAGAGTGGGTTATAAATCCAATAAAATAAATAGATAAATAAATATCTTTCTAATCCAACGTCTCAATTAGAAGGCTTCTGCTTTTCTTACGATCGTAAGTTTTATTTCTCAGGCCTTCTGGAGCCTGAGGGACTATGGAGAGAGGATGCTTGGAAACATAAGACTTGTGCTCAAACAACATTTATTTTTAGGGTCCCCGGAAGATGGGTTTAACTTAACACACAGGGCCTGGCTAATGGGGTTTACGTACCATCTGCAGAGGCGGGGGTGAGCGGGATGTACTCGGTTGAAGTCTGGCTGCTTAAAGAGACCCTGGCTCCTGTCAAATCTATTTTGGTGCTTCGGCAAGTATTGGAGCACACCTTGGTGTGTTCGTAGAAGTCGAGCTCGCCCGAATCCATGATCTTCCTGAAACACATGGAGAAAACACAAAGGCACACATGTGCAATGATTTCAACCAAAAAAACAACAAAAAACCCTGGCACCAAAATGTTTTATAATCGTTGATCAATGTTCCCTCTAAGCTGTGGAGTCTTGTGAGCAAAAATTCTACTTTGTGAGCTACTGGCATTAAAGTTGCGAGCGAGCGATTTGGCTACTGCATAAAGTAATTTGCTCTGGAGCCCTCCTTCCTGAGCGAAGAGAAAAATCTGTGAGCTGGAGGCTAAAAAACTGTGAGCCAGCTCACACTAACTCAGCTTAGAGGGAACACTGGAGAAGACCCAGTGTGGTGGTCAGAGTATCAAAATAGGACTGGGGACGTTCATATCTCATTCATTTTGGTGAGGCTTACACAGGGAATGTTTCTGGTGAGTCCTGTATCTACAACAGACATTGGTTGATATGGGACAAGGCCCCGTGCCTCTAGGGTTTGACGTGAGATCCACATTTTAAATAATTCAATTATTTAAAATGCTTTGTATGCTGCCTTTCCACCCGATCAGGTTCCCCAAGGAGACACTTTTTTTTTAAAGTAAAACATTTGAATGATTAAAAAGACATTTAAAATTCCTGACCTGGATAGCCCAGGCAAGCCTGATTTTGTCAGATCTCGGAAGCTAAGCAGGGTCGGCTCTGGCAAGTACTTGGATGGGAGACTTTCCTTGGAATACCAGAGGCAGGAGGCGGGGGGCAGGCTTTATTCAGCCACCTCTCTGAATACCCTCCAGGCCCCCAGGAGAGGCCAGTCACCAGGGGTCGCCATGACTGGTGCACACACAGGCACATATTAAAAAATACCAAAAAGAATCCCACCACCACCCCGATTTAAACTTATAAAATAATTCAATTAAAAACACATCAACAAACAACACTAGAAGAAGTGCCAGTTGCTACTATTGGGGCTATGCCAGACAAAACCAAAAAAGTCTTCAACTGCTGGAGAAAGACACCAATAGAGGGAGACAGACCAATGCCCCTGGTGCCACAACTGAGAAGACTCTTTTCTCAGGTAGCCAACCACCGAGCCTCAGACGGCAGGGGCAACTGAAGTAGGGACTCTGGAGACGACCCGAGTGAACAGGAAGGTTCACTGGAAGAAGGCGTCCTTAAGGTATGGCGGTCCCAGGCCATACAGGGCTTTAAGGGTCAATACCAGCACCTTGAATTGAGCCTGGAAGCAAACTGGAAGCCAGTGTGGATGGAACAAGACTTGGAGGGATTTATTTATTTTATTTTATTTTTGCATTTATATCCCGCCCTCCCCAAAGGCTCAGGGCGGCTAACAACGAGGCATGAATGCCAAAGTTAAAACAGTAAAAACAGAATAATACAATACAATAAGGTAAAGCCAGTCGAATCCGACTCTAGGGCTGCGGTGCTCATCTCCGTTTCAAAGCCGAAGAGCCAGCGCTGTCTGGAGACGTTTCCGTGGTCATGTGGCCGGCATGACTAAACACCAAGGTGCACGGAGCGCTGTTCCCTTCCCACCAAAGTGGTCCCTATTTATCTACTTGCAATTTCTTGCTTTTGAACTGCTAGGTTGGCAGGAGCTGGAACTAGAGACGGGAGCTCATTCCGTCGTGCGGCACACTCGGGTCTCGAACTGCTGAACTACCGGCCTTCCACAGCCTACAGTTCAGCGTCTTAACCACTTGAGCCACCGCAGCTCCTATACAATACAATACACTAAAATGTCGGTGCTCCTTAACCACTTGAGCCACCGCAGCTCCTATACAATACAATACACTAAAATGTCGGTGCTCTCAAGGTTACATAGATCATTAATTGCAAGATGGGGTTCTGGAGTTATTAATACCAGACCAAAAACATACATCCCAGCAGCACTGTCATCCCATCTTCATCCCGGAACGTCTCGCACACCGATAATGCCCCCACAAGGGGTGGTAGAGGTGCGGTGATGGAAGATAACAGTGATGGAATAGGATATGGTCTCCACGGACCCAAGATAAATTCCACCTTGGATTGCACAAACAAGCAGCTAACCTTAGCATGATGCCATTCATCCGGATCGCCCTCTTCCAGTCCTTCAGGGTGGATTTGCCGGCCAGATGCACAAATTCCTTGGGACTTATCAAGTGGTTGTTGTACTGCAGAGGAGAGACAGGGAAATGCAAGACTACAGCACTGGCTTGTGCAACTCCTTTTCTAACTCGCTGGCTTCTGTTTTCTGGCCTTCGCCGCCTCTCACAGAATGGAGCAGGCCTCAAAGTCTCTCTCGCCTGGCCCACATATAAGATTATGCATGGGAAAGAGCAGGTAGAGAAAGAGGTACTTTTCTCCCTTTCTCACAATACGAGAACTCGTGGGCACTCCATGCAATTGCTGAGCGGTCGGCTTAGAACGGATAAAAGGAAGTTCTTCTTCACCCAAAGAGTGATTAACACTTGGAATTCACTGCCACAGGGAGTGGTGGTGGCTACAAGCATGGACAGCTTCAAAAGGGAATTAGATAGGCATATGGAGCAGAGGTCCATCAGTGGCTATGAGCCACAAGGTATAGATAGGGGCTCTGGGGCAAGTGATGCTCTGTCTTCTTGGTGCTTGGGGGGGCCAACAGTGGGAGGGCTTCTAATGTCCTGGCCCCACTGGTGGACCTCCTGATGGCACTGGTATTTCTGGCCACTGTGTGACACAGAGTGTTGGACTGGATGGGCCAGTGGAAGAGCCCTGAACTGCAGCTTCGCATGTATCCACATAAAGAGAGCAGTTTGAATGAAGGAAAATGGAAGGAAGAGAGCTCTTCCCTCCCCAAGCCCTGCATCCAACCCTTTGATGTAGCACCTCCGGAGAAACAAATGCAGTGTCGTTTTATTTAAAACATAACCTATCCCCAAGTCAGCTGACAAAACATTAAAAACATAAAAACAATAGGTCTGATTTCAAGTGATCGGGAATGCAGCTCTGAGCTTCTTGGAAGAAGGTGGGATAAAAACTGTGACAGGCACCAGTGTTCCCTCGAAGCTGAGCGAGGGTGAGCTAGCTCACAGATTTTTAGCCTCCAGCTCTCACACATTTTTGTCTTAGCTCAGGAAGGGATGGCTCCAGAGCAAACTGATTTATGCAGCAGCCAAATCGCTCACTCACAACTTTAATGCCAGGAGCTCACAAAGTAGAGTTTTTGCTCACAAGACTCCACAGCTTAGAGGGAACATTGACAGGCACGACGATACAGTTTCAGGCAGGTAGCCAGGTTGGTCTCCACCAGTCAAACAACAAGGTTTGAGTTCATCAACACCTTAAAGACCAACAAAGTTTCCAGGGTATAAGCTTTCAAGAACCAAAGCTCCCCTTCATCAGATGATGACGGGAAGCTTTGACTCTTGAAAACGTACACTCTCAGGATCCTGTTGGTCTTTAAGGTGCTACTGAACACGATTCCTTCAACACAACAAAGGGACAGATCAAATAAGCCAGCCACGATTTGAAATTAAAAAAGACCCTAAAACATCCCTCTGCAATCATTGGAGGGGGGAAATAGTCCAGCAGAATTCTGAACTGAGCCAAATGAGCCCACCAGTTCACATTGCTGTACAGTCTTCCCAGTCGTCAGCTGCCAGTTTGTAAATAAGAACGGGAACTTCCTGCACAGGCAGGTAGACCTTAGGAAATGGTAAAGAAAAATAAATAATTTACCCTTAATCCTCCTTGACTGACCATTCTGGCTTAGTGTATGCCAGCTTTTGAGACTGGGTCCCATTACAGCCATGCTTGAATAAGAATTAATCGAAACGCGGCGACAGGCATCCGGATTACGCGTCGGGCTTTTTATGGCTCAGAAAATTTGATGACTTGCACTCCAATTTGGACTTTGATATTGCTTCTATGCTGGAGTAGACACATGGAAAGACTGTGACTTGCTTCTATTATGATTTATTATTGCACTTTGGCCTATTGATTTATATCATACTTGTTATGTTTATTTGATTTATATTATACTTGCTGTTATGCTTATTTGATCATTATACACTGGCTTACTTGCCTTGTGCGTTATTATTTTTTGCCAGTGGTGTTCTTTTTTGTTTCCTGCATTGTACACTGGCTTTCCCGCCCTCTTTTTTTGGCTGATGGATGGCCCAGGCTAGCTCAGATTTAGAAGCTAAGCAGGGTCGGCCCTGGTACTTGGGTGGGAGACCTCCAAGGGAGTCCCGTTACTATGCAGAGGCAGGCCATGGCAACTCATCTCCCTTTGTTTCTTGCCTTGAAAACCCCATGGAGGTCGCCATAAGTCGGCTGTGACTTGACAGCACTTTCCACCGATGGGAAGTTTACCAGATTTCTTTTCGTATTTTGTTGAACTTTGCCCTTGGGGGCAACAGTGGGAGGGCTTCTGGAGTTCTGGCTCTGCTGGTGGACCTCGTAATGGCACCTGGTACTTTTCGCCGCTGTATGACACAGAGTGTGGGACTGGAGGGGCCACTGGCCTGATCCAACATTGGCTTCTCTTATGTTCTTATATGGAGCAGAGGACCATCAGTGGCTATTAGCCACAAGGTATAGATAGGAGCTCTCAGTCTGGGGCAAGTGATGCTCTGTATTCTTGGCGCTTGGGGGGGGGGCAAAAGTGGGAGGGCTCCTAGTGTCCTGGGCACACTGCTGGACCTCCTGATGGCACCTGGTACTTTTGGCCGCTGTATGACAGAGTGTTGGACTGGAGGGGCCACTGGCCTGATCCAGCATGGCTTCTCTTATGTTCTTATATCTGGGGCAGAGATCTATCAGTGGCTATTACCCACAAGGTTTAGATGGGACACTGTGTCTGGGGCAGTGATGCTCTGTCTTCTTGGGGCTTGAGGGGCCACAGTGGGGGGGGGGGGAGTTCTGGAGTCCTGGCCCCGCTGGTGGACCTCCTGATGGCACCTGGTACTTTTGGCCGCTGTATGACAGAGTGTTGGATTGGAGGGGCCATTGGCCTGATCCAACATGGCTTCTCTTATGTTCTTATGTCTGGGGCAGTGATGCTCTGTCTTCTTGGGGCTTGAGGGGCCACAGTGGGGGGGGGGGGAGTTCTGGAGTCCTGGCCCCGCTGGTGGACCTCCTGATGGCACCTGGTACTTTTGGCCGCTGTATGACAGAGTGTTGGATTGGAGGGGCCATTGGCCTGATCCAACATGGCTTCTCTTATGTTCTTATGTCTGGGGCAGTGATGCTCTGTCTTCTTGGGGCTTGAGGGGCCACAGTGGGGGGGGGGGGAGTTCTGGAGTCCTGGCCCCGCTGGTGGACCTCCTGATGGCACCTGGTACTTTTGGCCGCTGTATGACAGAGTGTTGGATTGGAGGGGCCATTGGCCTGATCCAACATGGCTTCTCTTATGTTCTTATATGGAGCAGAGGGCCATCAGTGGCTATTAGCCACAACGTACGGATAGGAACTCTCAGTCTGGGGCAAGGGATGCTCTGTATTCTTGGTTCTTGGGAGGGGCAACAGTGGGAGGGCTTCTGGAGTCCTGGCCCTGCTGGTGGACCTCCTGATGGCACAATGGATTTTGGCCACTGTGTGACACAGAGTGTTGGACTGGATGGGCCATTGGCCTGATCTGTTCTTATGCTCTAGGAATCTATCTAATCCCCTTTTAAAGCAGTTTATTCCCATGACCTTCACTACCTCGTCTGGCAGCAAATTCCACATTTTAATCACTCCCTGTGTAAAGCGGTATTTCCTTTCGTCCATCCTGAAGCTACTGCCCATCAGCTTCATCAGATTCCCTCACGTTCTAGTATTCTGGGAGAGGGAGAAAAATTTCTCATGCATAATTTTAGGAATTTCTATCACGTCCCCCCTTAGTCTTTTCTAAACTGAAAAGTCCCAGACTCTTCAGCCTTTCCTCATAGAGAAGGTGCCTCCAACCCCCTAATCATCTTGGTTGTCCTCCTCTGCACTTTTTCCAGCTAATGTTTCCCTTCTCTCTCACCAAGCTTCCTTTCCTTAATTCATGATTTGGCTCCCAGACTGTGGACAGAGATCTCCGCGTTTTTTGTTTATGCAGTAAACACACTTACAATTAATCAGTGATTAAACATAGAAATTTGACACAAGTCAAAGTTGTTCAAGGCTTGCGTGCTCGATATGTTCCAATTCCTGCAAGAATTAGAAGTCGTTTTGTTTCTTTGCAAGAATCAAGGCAAGGCAAGCAAAAAGTAAGGGTGCAGTGGGGCGAATGGGGATGGGATGTTAAAAGCCACATGGCACAGACCAAGGCTTTTTAGAGCTGATACAGACTGCATGCTGATATGCAAAACTGATGCCTAAAATATGCTTTTTTGCTGCAGTGAATGTAGG